CCTGTCTTCAAGGCGCGTTACGTGGCTCGAGGCTTCAGTCAGCGAGAGGGAGTTGATTTCTTCCAGACCTTCTCCCCCACCCCGAAGATGACTACTCTTCGGGTGCTGCTGCACATAGCCGCTCACCGCGACTACGAGCTTCACTCACTTGACTTCAGCACTGCTTTCTTGCAGGGCAGCCTGCACGAGGAGATCTGGCTGCGCCGCCCACCTGGCTTCACTGGGTCGTTTCCTCCTGGTACTCAGTGGAGGCTTCAGCGGCCGGTCTACGGTCTCCACCAGGCTCCGCGTGAGTGGCACGACACACTGAGGACTACACTTGCGCACCGACACTTCGCTGCCGCCGTTCTACATCCTCGTGTACGTCGACGACTTGGTCTTTGCCACTGCTGACACTGCAGGACTCGCCTACGTGAAGTCAGAGCTGCAGAGGAGACACACATGCACAGACCTGGGTGAGCTGACAAGCTATCTTGGCTTGCGGATCACCCGGGACAGAGCACGGCGCACCATCACCCTGACTCAGTCACACATGGTGCAGCAGGTTCTCCAGCGCTTCGGCTTCACGTACTCCTCGCCTCAGTCCACTCCTCTGCCTACCGGTCACTCGCTCTCAGCTCTGCCTTCGGATGAGTCCGTAGAGCCGAGTGGCCCGTATCCAGAGCTTGTGGGCTGCCTCATGTACCTGATGACCTGCACTCGACCTGACCTTGCATACCCTCTTAGCATCCTTGCACGCTATGTCGCTCCTGGCCGTCACAGGAAGGAGCACATGGATGCCGCTAAGAGGGTGTTGCGCTACTTGTGCAGTACGTCGGGCATGGGGCTTGTGCTTGGAGGGCGAGACCGAGTTGTTCTCACAGGGCACTCAGACGCTTCTTGGGCAGACGACCAGGCCACTCAGCGGTCGTCTCAGGGTTACACCTTCAGCCTTGGCTCTGGCTCAGTTTCTTGGCGCTCTACACGCTCTTCTTCTGTTCTCGGCTCCAGTTGCGAGGCTGAGATCTACGCTACAGCCATGGCTGCCCAGGAGCTACGCTGGCTGACCTACCTGCTGACCGACCTCGGAGAGCCGCCTCGTTCTCCTCCAGTCCTGTACGTCGACAACAAGGCTGCCATTGCCTTGTGTGAGGAGCACAGACTGGAGCACAGAACGAAGCACATCGCCCTGCGGTACTTCCTTGCTCGTGAGCTGCAGCAGCGCGGTCAGCTTTGTATTCGCTACGTGGCCACTGAGGCCAACACTGCTGATGTGTTCACCAAGGCGCTTCAGCCTCGTGACCATCAGCGCTTCTGCACTCTACTAGGCCTTGTGCCTACTGGACCTCACTTACTTACCTCTTGACTTTGCTTGTACTGTGATCACTATATATATCTATACCTGCATGTTTACTCTTGCTAGGTTGTGATCACTGTATCTCTTGCTCTGTTATAAACCTGCATGTGAACTGGTCTTGTGACCACTAGCTTGTGCTCGGAATTTGTGTGGAATCCTCGAGATCCACCCTGAGCTTGTTGTTGCCTTGCTTTGCCTTGACTGGTCTTGTGACCCCTAGGTCTCCCCCACTTTGCCTATGGGGGTGTGTCAAACATTATATGTTTATATGATTGTAGGCTGTAGTGGGTGATACCTTAGGGGGTACACTGGATTAGGGTTTCCTATTTGTATCCATCCTTCTGTTAGTACAGCCATTCCAGTCCGTTATTTCTGACAGGGCGGTCAGCTTCGCCATGTCAGGGACGAACTGGCGCACGTAGTTGACGAACCCCAAAAAACTCTGCGGCTCAATCAGATTTGTCGGCGCGTGCCATGCTTGAATCGTCGTAACTTTCTTCGGGTCTATTTCCACTCAGTCGGCTGAAACTATATGTCCTAAAAACTCTAGTCTTTCCTGTAAAAACTCACACTTAGATGCTTTCATCAGGAGGCGGTTCTCACTCAGTATTTTGAAAACTACTTCGATGTCCTGTAGGTGATGTCCTCTTTCTCGGCCGTAAATCAGTATATCGTCTAAGTAGACGATCACGCACATATCTAAAAGCGGGCGGAAGGCTTCGTTCATCGTCATTTGGAAGGTGGCAGGGGCATTAGTCAGTCTAAAGGGCATTACCGCGTATTCAAAGGATCCGTAGCATGTTCAGAAGGAGGTTTTCGGGCAATCAGGCGGATTGACTCAAATCTGGGGGTAACCTCCTCGAAGGTCAACTTTTGAGAAGACGCGAGCTGTGCCGATTTGGTCGATCAGTTCATCGGCTCGCGGGACGGGGTAACGATGGTAACTCGGTTCAGTGCGCGGTAATCTATGCACATGCGAAAACCCTCGTCTTTCTTCGGTGTGAACCGTATCGGTGCGGCAAGGGCGGCGAACTCGGGCAAATGAACAGTTTCTCGAGCAGGTAATCCAGTTGTTTCTGCAGTTTGTCCAGTTCGGGTCGGGTCCGTCGGAAATGTCGCTGTACTGTCGGTTGTGCCCTTGGTTCCAGTTGTATCCTATGGTCGTGCGATCGCTAAGGTGGCAGTCCCGTCGGCAGGTCGTCCGGAAAAATGTCGCTAACTGCTTCAGGAGTGCTGCCAGATCTCCCGGTACGCCGGCAAGCAGTTTCTGTAAGTCGCTTCCCTTGTCTGCTACCTCGGCTTCCTGGATGTCAACTGCGTACACGTTAGCTCCTATCGCTACGATGCGTTTCATCGTGATTGCGTTGATACGCACCGACGAAGACCCAGGCGAGCTCCAGCGAGGTAAGGCGATGTTGTTACCGTTCACTCGCATGGTGCAATCGCCCATCGTCCAGTCGATTCACGGATTGTGTCGTCGCAACCATTCACGGCCGATTAAAATGTCGGTCCCGTCAAGGGTCGTTGCGAGCATTTCCTAGGAAAAGGTGAAGCTGCCCTCGCATCGGATCCGAACTCGGTCTACACGTTCCCGTATCGCAGTGTCGTGCCGTCGACCAGTCGTGTGTCGATCTCAGGTAACATTTGTCCAGTGGCAGTTTCAGTCTCCGTGCTGTGGCGGTGTTGATCAGGCTGTGGCTGGCTCCCCTGCCCACGAAGTTTTTTACTAAATCTGTCCCTATTTTCCCACTAAGCAGTATGAGGCTTTCTATTGTTGTGCCCTCCTTATTCGGCCAGGTGTGGTCGATTGCGTGAACCGGCACAATCACTCGGTGAGGGTCGGTTGGGTCGGGCGAGCGGCGTGACCTGTCAGTAGAGGGCCCGTCTGCTACTGACTTCCAGCATTTCCCTATTGCTTGGTCCGTTTTTGCTGCTCAGCTTCCCCGTTTCCCTTAGCGTTTTCCTCGCATTTGCTTTTACGGTGCCCTGGCCTGTTACACGCGAAGCAGCACCCTTTTACCGGTGCGGAAGCGGCATTCGCGGCGACAGCGCGTATCGTGGCGTGCTCGTTCGTCCTACGAGGCCGCCGATGAAGCGGTCGATGCGCTCGCCCTTGTGAATATAGCCCACCTGCCATAGCGCCAGGAACCCGCTTGTGTAGTCCTGGATGGAACCGAGCTGGCACCGAGTGCGGAGCCTCTGACGCGCAGCGATAGAAGTTGCAATTGGCTCGAATCTCGCGCGCAGACCTGCGCAACACACGTCCCATGTGCAATACTGGGGTACATTGATAAAATACGACGGCGCCCAGGGTCCTTTTGTCCTTCCTGTGTCGGAAGAGTCCTGGCTTTATGACGATGACGCGCCACTAGTCCATGGCGGGTCCTCGCAGCAGCGACACTGCTATTGAATCTTCGCCGAGTCCGACGAAACGTAGTTGGCATCGAAGAAGACATTCATCGTGAATAGCCATGCTTGAACCGTCGGACCACCCCGTTGATTCGGATCGAAGCAAGGTGGATGCTGCGGCTTGAGCGGCATCGGCGACGGCACCGTGTTAAACTAAAATTTTGATTATAGGCTGTAGTGGGGTAGCTTACATGGGGTACAACACATTCTAGGGTTTCTATTTATACCCAACTTGTTTCTAGTCATTCTCATTCCTGCTAGTTTCTAACATGGTTTCAGAGCAAGTTCTGCTCCAGGACTGTTCTCGTTAGGGCCCACCCGATCGTACCCTGCCCGTAGCGCTGCCCCACCCGTCTCGCTGCCTTGCCCTGCCCTGCCCCGCACAGTGCTGCCCGCGCTCGCTCTACCCTGCCTGCGTCACGCTGCCTGCACACGCCCTGCCTGCGTCGCGCCCCATCCGCGCACGCCTCTGCCCCGCGTCGCGCTGCCCGCGCGGGCCCACCCCTGCGTCGCGATGTCCCGCGCACGCTCTGCCCTGCCCTTCCCGCAGCCTGCGTACGCCCTGCCCGTGTCGCGCAGCCTGCGTTCGCCCTACCCTGCCTGTCACGCGGCCCGTACGTGCCCTGCCCGCGTCGCGCAGCCCGCGTCTGCCTTGCCCTACTCATCGCACGGCCCACGCACGCCCTGCCCGCCATCGCGTCGCCTGCGCTTGCCGTCCCCTACGTCGGGCCGCCCCGTGCACGCCCCGTTCTGCCCGCGCGCAGCCCTACTGACATCGCGCGACCTATTTTTCTGCTCGCGCGCTGTCCTCCCAGCCGCGCGCCGCCTCTGCCTGCCCACGCGCTGCCCTGTGTAGACCCGCGCGCCGCCTAGCTTGGAGGTCCGTCCTATCAAGTTTGAGACTTGGCTTTAGGACCTATAGCTGTACCTGCTGAACGATTCAAAAGACAATGTCTCGCTGTTTGACCACACGTCTGGAGCCTGTACTTCCCCTCCCGACACAGCTGACAGTGCGACTCGCTCACAGTGGCTTACCCGTGACGCTGCCGCTCGCCTAGCCGTTCGCAACCACCTGCCGATAGCCGAACGCGCTCACTTTGACCAGCCTAAAACTGCTAAAGCCTTGTACGACGCTGTAGTCGCCCGCTACTCTTCCCCTGCCACTGCAGATCTTGGCCGCCTCATACTACCCTACCTGTTTCCAGAGCTGTCCTCCTTTGCCACTGTAGAGGACCTCATTACCCACCTTCGTTCTATGGACACTCGACCGTTCTGCCCTCCCAGCCGAGTTTGTCCCCAAGAACGAGCCCCCAATTTACATCACTCTCTACTTTATTGTCACTCGCCTCCCTGACTCTCTTAGTGCAGTCCGGGACATATTTCTCGCCCTTAACCCCACAGAACTCACTATCGACCTGCTTGAGAAGCACCTCCTTGCAGCTGAGACTAGCATAGTCGCTGTAGGTGCTGCTCGTGGCACTCCCCGCACGCCCTTCTTTGAGGGGTGCTCCCCCTCGCCCCATGCCCCCTCTGTTGCTTCTGCTGCTGCTGTCGACTTCCTTGGTGCTGAGGAGGTCGGTGCTGCTTCTGCTCCTAGTGGGAGGCGCCGCAGCGGCAAGGGCAAGGGAGGCAAGGGTGGTGGGGGTGGCGGCGGGTGGGGTGGTAGTGGAGGCGGTGGAGGCGATGGAGGTGGCGGAGGTGGCGGTGGGAGTGGTGGTGGGAGCGGGGGCGTCGGTGGCGGCGGTGGCGGCAGTGCTGGGGGTGGTGGTGGTGGTCTCGACGACAGTGGGAGTGGTGGCGGCGGTAGTGGCGGCGGAGGGGGCGGTGGCGGCGGCAGTGGTGGTGGTCGGGCTGGAGCCGGTCAGCGCCAGCAGCAGCAGCAGCGTCAGCGTGAGACCCCCACGCCCCAGCAGCTTCGTGAGTGGTACACTCAGCGTGGGGCGTCTAAGGGTAGTGCTCGCTGCTCGTACGTCATTCGCACAGGGGACTGCGCTGGTCAGGCGTGTGGGAAGCATCGCTATTTCTCCCGCCTAGACGACGCTTGGCGCACTGAGTTTGGCGATGAGGCTGAGATGCCCCGCTGGGCAGAGTGGTGTTGATATCTTTGCTCTTGTCTATGATGCTATTCTTGATGGCATGTATGCTCTGTCTACTGCGCTTGCGGAGGCCTTGCACACCTTCACGCTTGACTCAGGTGCTTCCCGCTGTTTCTTTCGCGACAGTACCACAGTCACACCACTCACTAGACCCGTTGCAGTTTCCCTGGCTGACCCCTCTGGGGGCCCGGTTCTTGCACGTTCCTCCACTGTGCTCCCGTGTCCGGCGGTTCCGTCCGGCTCACTGTCAGGTCTCCACCTCCCCTCGTTCTCGACGAACTTGGTGAGCACCCCAGTCCTTCAGTATGTGGGGGTTGATACCTTCACCCCTGGACGGCAGCGTGTGGCAATCTGTACGTGCTCTCGGACTGGCCGTCACCTGGCCACGTTCACCCGTCGGCCTGGGTCGAGTCTGTACACACTGACTACTGCGCCGCCTCAGGTCGCTGTGTCTCCTCAGGTGTCCGCGTCAGATCAAGTAGCAGCCACCTGCGAGTGTCGCCTCCTGTCGCACCAGACTCTCCTTTGGCACCACCGCCTTGGTCACCCCTCCTGCAACGCCTCCGTGGCATGCATTCCCGCCTCCTTGTCTCTGGTCTTCCCACATCTCTGCCTCCCCTCCCACCCTCGCCTGCCCCGCCCTGCATTCCTTGCGTCGAGGGGCGGCAGCGCGCCGCTCCTCACTCCTCCTCGTTTCTCCCGACGACTGCTCCCTTGCAGACTCTCCACATGGACGTGTGGGGCCCAGCCCGCGTCCGTGGACAGGGCCGCGAGCGGTACTTTCTGCTGGTTGTTGACGACTACTCGTGTTACACCAGGGGGAGGTCCCTGATGTCTTGATCCCTTGGATCCACGCTGTTCGTCTCCAGCTCCGCGAGCGGTTCCGCACGGACCTTCCTGTCCTGCGTCTGCACTCTGACTGGTGAGTTCTTCTCCGACCTCTTGCGGGACTTTTGTCAGGGGGAGGGCATCCTCCAGTCGTTCACGCTTCCGGCCTCCCTGCAGCAGAATGAGATTGCTGAGCGAGGCATTGGCTTAGTCATGGAGGTTGCTCGTACCTCCATGATCCATGCGGCTGCTCCCCATTTTCTGTGGCCGTTTGCGGTCCGGTATGCCGCGCATCAGCTCAACCTCTGGCCCCGTGTCTCCTTGCCGGAGACCTCGCCTACACTGCGTTGGACGGGGAAGGTTGGCGATGCGTCACGTTTCCGGGTCTGGGGTTCTCGTGCCTTTGTCCGCGATACCACCGCGGACAAGCTCTCCTCTCGCGCTGTTCCCTGCGTCTTCCTTGGCTTTCCCCCTGACGCGCCTGGCTGGCAGTTTTACCATCCCACCTCGCGCCGGGTCTTCGCCTCTCAGGACGTCACGTTTGACGAGTCGGTTCCCTATTACAGTCTCTTCCCCTACCGCACTGCCCCTCTCCCCCCTCTGCCGCTCTTCCTCGCTCCAGGTCCCCCTCCGGTAGACCCCCTCCCCCCTAAGGATCCTGCTCCTTAAGGTGTCTCTCAGGTAGACCCGCTTCCCTTGGCTGAGCCTGTAGAGGTCACTAGTGACTCTGGTGCTGCTAGGGGTGCTGCGTCTGGGGGTGCTGGGTGTGAGAGTACGACGTCATTGCTACGCTTTACTAGCTTGATTCTGCTTTACTATGCATTATCTAGCTTAGCTTTTTTTTATATTGCATGCTTTTGCTTGATTTCCTAGATTCGTTGCCTTTACTATAGTTATTATAGTTGTAGGCACCGAACTAGGTTGAGTGCACCGAATTCTAGGCTTTTCGGTTGCCACCGAATTGCCTTCTACCGAATTCGGGAAGGACCCGTTCGGGACGCTTCGCGACCCACGGAACCTTCTAGTAACACCCGGGTTACTGCCTTTGTGTCGAGCCTATATATAGCCTCGCCTTGTACCCAGGTGAATCATTCAATAGAATCATCTTTCCTGAACCAGATCCTCACACTTGGTAATCAGAGCGGGTTTACACGCCAGGTCTACAACCGCGTAGTTCCGGCCTTTAAAAACCGCGGGGGCGACGACGAAGGCGCCGATACGGGTATGTAAAACCAGTTCCGCGCAATTTTTTGAAGTCCCCCTCGATTCGGTTTTCGAACACCCCTCAGATTTACTGGTGGAAAGGTTGGAGTTTCGACCGTTCGATCGAGCTTAATCTCAACGGCCCAGAGAATTTTGACCCAAAAAGTTGGAATTTGGAGCGTCGGATCGAGTTTCTTCTCAACGGCCGAGATCGAACGCGAATTTCGACTAAGGAAGATTTACGCGACTTACAGAATTCGCGCTCGTCGATTTTACAGTCGATTCGACTCGCAGTAAGTCGACCAGCACCCATAAATTGATTATTTTCGTCGCGCGTCTCTCTGTAAATCGCCAAATGGAGGGAAAAAGAGATATTTCAGTACAGATAAACGCGGAGTTACGTGCCGAGCATAAGCAGATACGTGCGGCGCTCCCACGACTCGAGAAACTCCTTGCGAACCAGTCGGCAACCGCCACAGCAGCAGCGAATGCAGCAGCGACAGCAGCAGCAACAGCAGCAGCAGCAGCAGCAGCAGCAGCAGCAGCGGCGACGACACCGACAATTCTACCTGCGACAACGGCAGCAGCTACAGTTAACCTCGAAGCAGTTAAGATGAGGCTACCGGAAGCGTTCGATCCTATAGTTAAAGGGAACGACGTTCGTCGATTTGTAGCTGAACTCGAAATTTACTTCGAAGCCGTTGGATGCACGACCCCGACAGAAGACGCAATGCGCATACGGCTCGCAGCAACACTGTTACAAGGCCCAGCTCTAGAGTGGATCAACAACAGAATAGTCCAAGGCGAAGGGACGTGGGCGCAGTTTCGGGCAGCACTGATCGAACAGTTCGACACGTTGAACAGTAGCTACTACGGAACACGACGCAACAAGCCAACTAGTGGCATGGGGCGATTGGCACCACCCACGACTGCTGAACCGATGGAGAACGACGAGGGCGATGTGGAGCAGCGGCTAGCAAAAACTGAGACGTACAAATTTTGCGGCGCTACAGGACATCGTATCTTGGCGTGTTGGGAAATGAAGGGAAGGCGTGCGGAGCTGAGATACAAGAACAGTGCGGCACCCCCGAAGCAGAAAACGGACAACGTGGGAACTTCTGAGAGGGCGAAAAAAGGAGAAAATGATGGCGCGAGTTTAAAACGTCACGACCAGCCGGCACCAGGGGAAATCGCCGAGACAAATGGAGACTCCGCGAAACAAGACCCTGCACCGACTGGGAAACTCCAGCCGTACACCCCGACAAGTAAGAATATTACTTCTCGTGATTTTCAAGCCTTTATTAAGGGAGAGTCAGAAATTAAACCGGTACCGGGTAATATGGGGACCCTACTCCGGAGCGCTAACAAGGGTCGAGCGTTCCGAGGAGTTAATATTCTCTCCCAGCAGCTCTGTTTAAAGGCTCCCTGTTCCCCACAGATGAAGCCTACACAGCTGCAAAGGCCTAGGGGAAGGTTCCAGGCTCAAGAGAAGTTGTACCAGCCTCGGATAGATCCTTCTAACCCTACTCAGGTGATACCTGATATTGAAGCTGCATCTTCGAGCGCAGGACCTAGGGATGACATATTCGACGTACCCTACGATCCTATAAGCGATACCATCTACGGCTACTCGGAGCAGCAACAGCCACTAGTACTCGAGGTGATCTGCAACGGGCGACGCCTCCAGGCACTGGTGGACAGTGGTGCGTCCCACTCGGTGTGCGACTGCGGGACGTTGGAGAAAATTGAAGAATCCTCAGAAGAGACCCAGTTTACAGCAACGATGGTGGACGGTACGAAACTTCCCATCCACGGCGAGTCAACACTGCAGCTACAGATAGGAGCGTTAAGGTTGAAGCCGACGTTGCCGATCACGAACATCAAGGGATTATATTTCATCTTGGGGCGTGATTTTCTGAAGCAGTTCAACCCCGAGATCGACTGGGTCAACCGGAAGGCGTGTATCTACAACGACGGGAAACGTGTGAAGCTGCAAAGGTGGACGGATACAGGGGATACTCCTCATCAGCAAGCCATGGAGCAGCTACAGACAGCACTGACTACAGCGCCAGTACTCATCCTACCGAATCCAGACAGAGACTACGTGGTGGAAGCAGACGCTAGTGACCAAGCAGTCGGAGCAGTACTGATGCAGGATCACGGACGCGGTTTGCAGCCCATCGCCTATCTGAGTAAGAAGCTATACGGAGCAGAACTGAACTACCCTATCCATGACAAGGAAGCCTTAGCGATAGTCACAGCCTTCAAGGCGTGGAGGTGTTACCTAGAGGGAGCCAAGACTACAGTTTCCACTGACCACTGCAGCCTCAAATACCTGAAGTCGCAGCCGACGCTCTCACGACGACAGGTGCGGTGGGTAGACTTCTTGGAGACCCACTTCCACTACGACATCGTCTACAAGCCCGGGCTACACAACAAAGCTAACGCGTGGAGCCGCCCCGGTCATGTAGCAGGCATCCAACTCGATGGGATGAACCCTCTGCTCAAGGGTCTATTCCAGCATGGATACTCCGTGGACGCAGAGATCGCTACAGCAGAGAAACAGAAGCTGTTACAGTGGGAGAAGGACCTAGCTGTAAGAAAGGGATCAGGAAAGATTTGGGTACCGAACTATGCCCCGCTCCGACAGATCTTACTGGAGGAGTTTCACGATGTGGCATACGCGGGACATTTCGGGAGCAACAAGACGTTAGCGGGAATAGCAAGATATTACTACTGGCCCCAGATGGCAGCAGACGTGCAGCAGTTCGTCACTTCATGCGACACGTGCCAGCGGATGAAGAGTAGCAAGCAGAAAAAATCAGGGTTACTTCAGCCTCTACCCGTCCCGGAGCAGCCATGGCAAGTTGTCAGCCTAGACTTCATTACTGGGCTTTCTTCGACCTCACGAGGGCATGACGCTATACTCGTGGTGATCGATAAGTTCTCTAAAATGGGACACTTCATCCCGA